CTACCTATGGGCGATTTGTGAATGCTGAGGAGTCTTAAACATAATGCATCTCTTCTTTTCCAGAGCCAGAGTGGAAACCTACTGGTCAGGGTTGAGAGAGATAGTTGTCTATGATCACGACAGTGGCATATTCATACGTCCGTGACTCCAGTTCGAAAAGTGTAAGCTAAGATCTTATTAAATTTACTCTCTAGCAATGTTTTGAATCGTTCATACCCCTGAGAAAACTTCCCTGAACCCCAGCGCCTCTTTTCTTATAGATTCACACCGTTTTATTTCAAGCTTTAGTTTACTATTTCCATTCCCTTTCAATTGATTTTCATTTAGGCAATTAGGTTAGCCGTTTTTCTCATTTTTACTCGTTTTCGCTAAGTTTAGTTATTAGGTCATTTTAATTCCCGTATTTTCTCGTTAAGATTCGTTTTTACATTTTAAACACACCACCAAAACCCCCACAAAACCATTTGGTTATAGACTTCCTTACTTTATATTTCTTTCGAAGGCTTTTGCAGAAAAGATCCTCCTTCCCTGTGGATTTGATCCCTAAGTACTACAATCGATCATCTGTGCACTTGCGGCTATTGATTTCATTTAGGGTAAAACTTGACAACCCTCAACACACCGACACACATCACAAGTCGGGTGGGTTAGTCCATGACCAGGCTTGACTGGGTTTAAATCTTATGCTTGCGTCATGCTTCTGATTGTGTCACCAACTTTCCTTGGCATATTATACCTGTCATGAGACCGTTCGTTGGCGCGTCCCTTTGGTCCTCAGTGTACGGGCTGGTTTGGCGGTTCAGGTGCGGTATTGCTCTCACTGATCCTCTCCTTTTTCTATCTGGCTCTTGCGAAAGGTCACTGTCGCCTGACACCTGTAAGAAAGATGCATTAAATGCCAATCTCGTGGGTTTGTAAGGGTATGTGTGATCAAATCAGACTAAAGCATATTCCTATTGTGGAATGAAGGGAGATTTGAATAGTATTTTCCGCTTATGTATAAATCATACCTGGTCTGGATCCATCGATACTGTGATCGGGCTACCGGGGTTGCTTGAACGGTTCTGCTCTCCGGGTTTCTGTGCGGGCTACCCTTCCTTATATCCCGACCATTCCGGATCGACGAGTTTGAGTCTAAGAAATAGAGAAGGTGATATCTCCTCCTCCTGAGCACTCAGTTTTCAGCATGCTTGTGCCTGAAAGAGTGGCCTACACTGTCAGACACGAGGAAGTCAGGAACAGGTGGCTCATCATGCCGGATCTCCTGAATCCGACTAGATTCGATGCCCGATGCTATATTCTTAGGTCGTACCTGAAAAACAAATCATGGATGCCACGTGCTTTCATGTGGTCGTAAGTCCAATACGAGTGTGCAAGCACATGATTCATCCACGTAGGAATAGTCGAATATTCCCAACTTTGATCAATAAAAAACGAAAATAAAGAAAAAACAGAAAAAAAGAGAACTGATTTATAATTCTAAAAAGTTACCAAATTAAAAGAAAAATACAATATTTAAATTTAATCTAAAAAGAAAGTGAATATTTTTTTTTAAATGTTCCACCTCTATATAAGTAATTTGATAGTAAGTCAATTGCATTCCAAAAAAAAATTCAATAATCATTTTCAAAGCTATTTAGTGCATATCCTTCACCAAATTCTTTCTTTAAATAATACAAATTTAGAAACGAAGTTCAATAATTAATTTCAAAGCTATTTAGTGCTATTCTCCACCAAATTCTTCCTTTAAATAATATTTTATTTCATCAAAACTTTGTTTCTAAATTTGTATTATTTATTTTTCGTGCAAACATCTTTTAAAAAATTAGGTGGGGTTAACAGACTGCCCTCCCTCTCATTTGTCTCCGTCCCTGGTTACAAAACTATTAAAGAGTTAATGCATAAAACTATTCTCCTAAGCATGGTTTATTGCCAAAGTATCATTGGATAAGTCTACCTTGCTAGACTATCCTTATAAAAATTTTCAATGTCCATTTTAGCCTGAGGTTAGAAAGTATTACAGAATTGCCATTTATAATTATTTTGTTTTATTTTTTAAGAGATATTAGTAAAAAGGAAATAGGTTAGGTTAAGATTGTATTGTTGGTTTCTTTTTAAAAAAAAAGTGATAACAGCGACAAAAGAAAGAGTGAGACAAAGGCGGCGAAAAGGAACGAATTTTCCCGACCAGATTCCAGCGGGGACCGAAGGTTTTTCCGGTAAGGAACTTCTTCCTCACACTTCTCTGTTCTTCCCTCTTTGTTTAGAGAAGTTTCTGCACCGTTCAAAGTATCTGCAGAGTTCGACGACGACTTTTAGGGTTTCAGTCGTCTGCAGATTTCGAGGAGTTGCCGGAATTACTTTTTGAAGATCACCTTGCGGTGAAGTTTTAGTATGCGGCAGCGAGGATTACATAATGACTAGTTTTCGCCGATTCCGTAAAAGATAACCCTAATTTTTTTGTTTTGCAGGTGTTAGGGAAATTTCTGATGGGTTAGAGGAAATCCAGTGAGTGTGAAGATTTGCGGTGAGTCAGGGTTACATTATGGTCGATTTATTGTTAATTATGTGGAGTTTTTGTTATGTTATGATGATAGACTTGAATGGTATATAAAATGAGTAGTAGATTTGTTTCTATAAAGAGTAGTAAATGAGAAAGAGTAGTAGACTTGTTCGTAAATGAGAAAGAGTAGTAGACTTGTTCAGTAATGATAGAGTGTAGTTTAGTAGACTTGTTCCGAAATGATTGAGAGTGGTAGACATGTTCGTATAGAGAGTGGTAGACTTGTTCGTAAAATGATTGAGAGTGGTAGACTTGTTCATATATAGAGTGGTAGACTTGTTCGTAAATGATTAAGAATGGTAGACTAATTCTTATTACATTTACATCTATGCAGAAATGGCCTCTTCTAGCAAGACGAATGAGTACCCACCCACACTATTTCCGCATGGGAGATCACCTCTACAGAAGAAGAGTTTCCATAATTATTGCCAACTAACTGAATTCGGGCTCATGATAAGTGCAGTTGGAGATACAGTTTTCAATGATATCATGAACACCTCTCATGTAAGCTTGCTTTTATTTAGTAGATTTGCTGTGTAGTTTAGTAGATTTGTTTGTTAATGATTGTAGAGTTATCGTTTTAATATGGTATATTTGTAGTTGTATATTTGAACTTTGCATATGAATGATGACATTTTTTTGTTCTTCTCTAACAGGTTATACACTTTGCTGTAGCGGACGAGTCTCCTACGAAAGTTGCGGCATCGATCCGGCGTGTTATTATACAGATTATAGATACTGATTTGGTAGATTTGTTTTTAAATTGATGGTAGACTTGTTATGTAGACGAAGATAGACTTATTATGTATGTCAAGCTCTAATGATGGTAGACTTATATTGTTTTGTACATCAAACGGTAGACTTTTTGGTCAGTTGTTATTAGGACTTATTGCTGTAACTACACTTTCAAAGGACCATGCTTTTTTTGGCATGATGTTGGTCCTTTGTAAGTTTGGTATATTTGTTGTCTAAACCATAAAATATTGTACATCAAATACAAGAAGTTCGATAAACCAATTATTACAAGAGAGTTCGAAAATGCAGAAAATCGTACAAGTTTGATAGATCGATTATTTCAAAACAAGTTGTACATTTCTTGACATTACACTATCCGCATAAGCATGTTGTAAGTAGTTCGTTTAGTAAAAGGGATGGCATAAGTAGATATATGTGAAGTTTATCTTACTTAGGCGGTGGCTATGACATGTACACAAGAGATTGTATCAAGATCAAGCATACCACGTACATATTTTTTCTTTCAATGTAGTACTTGCCAACTGAATATATATCCATTGAAATATACGTTAATAGAAATGTTAACAAAAAAATTCATGTAAAAAAATAAATCTACCATCCTTACAGTAAATCTACTATAAAACACTAAAACATTTTCATACTTAGCAAAATTGGATGTCTGGTTTTTTCGTAGAATTAAGAATAAATGTGGGCAAAAATGTCATTTCCATAATTAAAAAGTCAAATGTCTACCACATAAAAATGTTAATAAGTCTACCATCCTCAGAAATACTTATAAGTCTATTAAACTAAACAATATTTTTCTGAATAGAGGTTATCTGAGTAAGTACCAAAAACAATTATAAATCTACCATGATTGTAAATCAGAAATATTAAATCTACTAAGAATTAATAAATCTATTATACTTGTAATTAAACCTACCACATTATTTATTGAATTTCGACGGTTTTAAATCTACCATTAGTACTAATAAATCTACCAAATTCTAATAAAGCTACCATAAATAGTAATAAATCTATCAACCTAAATAAGTTTACTGTACATCAAAGGAAATAAATCTGTCACCATTACAAATAATTCTACAAAATTTTAGGATAAATCTGTCGCCATTACTATTTAAATCTACCAAAAAAGTCAAACACTTATCATCAGTCAACAGAATATTCATAAGTCTACCATTAAAGATAATAAATCTACCATCAAAAATTTTGTCTACCAACAAAAAATAAGTCGACCATTCTATTCAAATACATCTACTAAAACAAATCTACTAATTTTAAACAAATCTACCTTCTGTCAAATAAATTTACCAACAAAAACTGGTATTAACCAAATTTTAACAAGTCTACTACTCTTTCTCTTTTACGAACTATTAATCTTTGGCCAATTAGAAAGTCCACTCCAATTTACTCACTCACATGACCCACTCGTATGGATCTCCATACTATAGGGGGAGGGGGGAGAAAGAAATGTTGACGAGTGACATTGAAGCCGTTATTTTATTAATTCTATAGATGCTAGATCCATATTGTAAGGAAAAAAAATAAAGGAACATTGAGAAGCTTAAGAAGCAAGTTCAAGATGCGCATTGAACTCATTAATTCGCTAATCTCTATAAATCGATGCCCCAGTCATATTGTTAAGCCTTAAAACGTAAAAAACAACAAAATCAATACAAAGATGAAAACAAGTGCGATCTTTTTCTTCTTGCTCACTGTCATTGCAATAACAACTTTTGGTGGTGGTGGTGTTGTTTCTGGTCAAGAAGAAAACTACGCCGTGTATGATGCCGACGGACAAAAGGTTAAAACCAACGTTCCGTATTATGTCAGCTTCATGACGATAGAGTACGGAATGTGGATTTGCCGAATGCGTTTAGGATCTGTTGATCCCGAGTCATGTCCGGGACAACAACCGGTAATGTTCACTGATCCAAATATAGCACCCACACCAGTTATGTTTGTATTACCATCTTCAAATTCATCATCATCAGATCGTGTCGTCATAAATGAATCAACCGATCTTAGCATTAAGTTCGCAACGCCTGGCCCTTGTGGTGAGTCCCCGTTCTGGAGAGTTGTTAATGGAGAAGTATTCCTGAGCGGAACGGAGTTAAGCAGTGATAGTACATTCACCATTCAGAGGACTGACCAATATTATAAGTTTACTTTCGGTAACGGTTTTGATCAAAGGAGTATCAATTTATCTAACGAACAAAAATCAAAGCTATTATGGAAGAGGTATTTAGGTCCAGAGATGGAGATCTATTTCTACCGGGCTACGCTAAAGTAAAGGCATATGTTTCTACATGAATTATCCACCTTTAAAATGTAATCAAATAAAACTTGTCGTAAAACATGATATGTATTACAAATACGCGATAAATTAATCGAACTATATCATATAGGATTCCTTTTCATCCATCGTTTTTTCAAATAAATGACTAGAATCGTATAAGTAAAGCAGATGTTCCGCATTTTTAGTGAAATGTTAAGCAAACTAAAAATATTTACAAGAGTGTTTAAACTGTTAAATAAACCAGTATGAGACGATTTTAAGTCACTGCAATTAAATTCTTTGAAAAATGCAGCGTATAGCTCAAGGGTGATTAATAGGGCTGATAAAGGGATTTTTTTTAGTTCTAGATCAATCGCTTAAGTACATTCATGTCATTGCAATACATTAAGGTTATCAATCAAATTGGAAAAAGTATACTAAAATAAAACGCATGAAACTCTCAAATTTAAGTGAATAAGTTGGTTTTATATTCACGACCAATAGATTCAAGTTCAACAAGAAAACAAGCTAACAATATAAACAGCTCTTAAACAAGGTTAATGCAAATGATCAAAGACAAGCTATTGGGTGTGATTATTGACTTTGAGTGTTATTAACGCTAACCTAAGATGCTCAAACACACAAACAAGCCTTTGTCCTTAGGTCTAGAACACTTAATTAAACTAACTTATTCTCATGAAGCTAATTACTTTGCTAATTAACTTAATCAAGATCAAATTCTCATATGTGAAAAAGACATTATAAACAAACATTGGATTCAAGTTCTATTAACCATTTAATGCATTTAGCAAGCATACTCATGTGAAAAAAATGAGAAAATTCTTATTTACCTCATTGGAAAATTTTGCCACACTTATTATGCATGAAATTCTCTGCTTTAGATTAAACTGATCAGGAGAGATCTAGTTTTAAGCTCACCAAATAAAAAAGGAAAATAGATAATGTAGTCCTTAAGCATCATAGGTCAACCAAGATAAACACTAATCCACCATACCAAGGGCAAATTCTGATTTGGATTATACGGTTTTCGTTAGCCTCACGACATTGTTGCTATTGGTTTCTCTACCCTGGCATTGCATTGTGACTCGAGGAAGGTTGATGATGTTGTAGTATCGGTTGGTGACTGAGATGTTGTTGCGAGACTGAGTATGGGTTCGGGTTCAGAGGAAATTCGGGTTACAGATGGTGAAAACATTTTGGTGGCTCCATGATTAGAGAATTTATGTGTCTCTTGGTTCAATTAACCTTTGCACTAATAAGTATAAAGGGTATCAATCTAATAAGTGTATAGCAAGATAGTTCAGTTAACCTTTGTACTATTGAGTATTAAACATTTGATCTTTTTCTTTGTCTTTTTGCTCTCCTTTCAAATCTGTCTCTGTTTTCAAGGTATGGCAAGATGGTTTCCCCACTTCTGCGTCTTGTATGCATAAACCTACAAGAAGAAGATGCAACAAAACTAAGAGTAAGATCAGTAACACAATAGAAAATAAAACTTGATCTCAATATAGACACAAAGATCTAAAGTTGACCAGACCCAATTGGCAATGGCACCAAATTTATAAGAGAATTTATGTGTCTCTTGGTTCAATTAACCTTTGTACTATTGATTATAAAGTGTATCAATCTAATGAGTGTGATTCAAACATCAGAAATGCATGAAACTATGTTAATCCAAGCAATCAAAGTGATATTTTAATTAACTAAAGACAATGAAAAATGATCAAAGCAAACAAGCAAATAACTAAAAAAGACTGATTCAATAAGATAAAAGATAAGCCTCTAGGTGTGATAATGGATTAAGTTGCTTTCAATGTTAATTCAGGATGTTAAACTAATCAAAAAGACATTTCCTTTAGCTAAGAACTCTTAATCTCAATTAATTCACTCTCATGATGATAATTACCATGTTAATTAACTAATCAAAATCTAATTTTCATTAGTAATAAAATTAATCAACAAGCATTAATATCTAGTTATAATTACCATTAAATGAACTAATAACCATTGTCATGTGAAAGATGCATCAAGCTCTCATTTACCTCATTCAAGCATTTCATCAAACATGTTTGTTGCATGAAATGCATATGAACCCATATTTCACTTTCTAAAGGAACTCTGGCAACTAAATGAGATAGGAAATTAAGAATCTAAATGATAACATCAAAGATCAATCATCTAAGCACCGTAATTTACACACCCAAAAGCTCAAAACGATGACTACTCACTAATCATGACTAAACCCAGAAAATCTAAAGAGTTTAGGGTGTTAGTCATGATTAAAGAGATAAGAAAAGATAAATAAGATGAAACATAAATCTAGATTTGCATAAACTTCAAATGATTTAATACAAAAGCTCTCAATCTCTTAAAAGGGGAAGGGTTTCTGATCACGTTACGATATATGACTTAAGGGTTTTGGTGTTTTTCCTTTTATTGTATTAAGTTTTAGGATCTTTTCCTTTTTAATTTAGGGCAATTAGTTTGTCTCGAGACCTATATAAGGGTCTCTTTTGATTAATAAGAAATGAAGCTTCCAATAATTAACCTTAATCTCTAAGAGAGAGTAGGGTTAAGAGGAAAGCTTTGCCTCAATCTTCCAAATTTTTCTTACGTGAACAAAGGTTCATATCAATTTGGTATCAGAGCTGAACGATTCAATGGGAGACAGTGATTCAATTGCTTGACTTGCAGAGCAATTCGCGAAACTGATGGAGATGTCACAAGCCTTTAACGAAAAATTGGATCGGTGGTATCCTACCAAGCCAAAGGAGCCTTACTACACCCTGGTGTTAGAAGTTCCAGCTAAGGTGGTTGAGGCGAAGCAACCAGAGTTTCAAAACTAGGAGCCTTGATAAAAAGTGAAGCCCTATAGGCTGAGACGAAGCAACTTGATGCTGCGTAGATTAGGGCTGGTTTTAATAAGCTTCAGGTTCTATATTTATAACCCCTAGCTAAATGCCTGCAAGTGCACAGATATGTGTTGTAGTATTTAGGGTATCGATCCACAGAGACTTAATTGTTTTCAGTATGAATTCACGCTAATGCTTAAATCATACTAGAACTAAACAGATTGGGTTTTTGGTTTAGGGTGTCGCTAAATCTAAACAAAGGCAATTAAAATCGAGGTTGTAAACAATTAAAAATGGACGCTGGGCTTAAGGGTATTCGCAGGAATCATGGACTAAACCTATGATAAAAAAAAATCAAATGATAAAGTTAATCAACTATGGATATTCTAGACCTCGAGCACAGTAGTATGACTAGCCTACTCTCACAGCACTAACCAACTGTCAATCAAGACCCTGACCAGTAGCTTTCGAGTCTGGCCCCAGCCACAGTTGTACGCAATAGTTTGAACAAGCTCATTTATATTCACAACTCACCCATAGGTAGCTTTTGACTCCTATGGCAGAAATGCTCGTTTCACCCTAGTTCAGACAGATAATGAAAACTTTTGCAACACAAAGTGTCTAGATCGAATTCTAAGTAGCCGATAAAGAATCATGCAATAAGAATAAAGGCAAACGAAGAACACCTAGAAGATTTTAAATCTTAAATCTAACAATTCATTGAAAAAGACTCATGAAAATCCCTTTGAAATCACTTTAAACCCAACTGGGATAATACTCAAACATATTGTAACAAGGAATCGTGAAGTATTTAAGGTTTCTGGAATTTAAAGAGAACATGGAAGAAGAACGAAGAACAGAGTCGACGGTGGAGGCACGATGCTACTCTCCTTGGCGGCTCCAAGAAGGATTCTCTTTCTCTAGGGTAAAAGTCGAGCACTCTCTGCACGCACACACATTCTAGAATGACCTAAAGGAGGTATTTATAGTTTCAGGAGTTATCTTGGACACTTAGGGCTTCAAAAATAATGACGGGATCAATTTGGGCCTGAATTAGGTCATCTCGAGAAGTGAATGATGTCTGGTCGCGGTCACGGTGCTTATACCCGCGGGGAATCCATTTTTGGCCTCGGTCACGGCCTATAATCTCCTTCAAAACTGCATTCTTTTGTCTTTAGTGCATCGAGAATATCAGAAGCTCCAACCGTTGGATTGTCTCCAAACCAATTTCATTAGAAAGCTGGTTGTCTCCTATATGTTGTCTCAAATTTTGGGGCTGATAAGACGGTGAGAAAGTCTTCATCGCTTGCCATATTTCAGACGGTTTGCATTTATCCAAAATTATTTGTTTGTTCTAAATTACACACCTTTAGTCCAAGTTTCCTGAAAAGTCTTTAAAACTCTTAAACATTGAAAACACTTTAAAAACCATTGAAAACAGAGTTAAAACACCAACGTAAGATATTTATATGATCCATGAAAATGGTCAAAATCTGGTGTTATCAACTCCCCTAGACTTAAACCTTTGTTTGTCCTCAAGCAAAACATAGATTAAGCTCGGAAAGAATCTTAAAAATCGCTGGAGCTAAACAATATCTCAGTGACTGTCCTTCCAAACCATAACCATCGTAAAGCATCTATTTAGATAAATGCTGATTGTGACAATTGATGATTGATAAGTGATTGCTATGTATAACGAGTAATTATTAAAACATGTGATTTATTTACACAATATCAACTTGCTATAGTATTAGATTCATTGTGTGACGGCCTACAATGACGAACAAAATATTGTGAAGTTGTAGTGATCGATAAATTTTGTGACGGCTTACAGTGAGGAACTGAATACTGTGAAGCTACTATAGTGATCGGGGAATGGCTGACGAGCCATTGTTAGACCTTTTAGAGGACTGTGGCACCGGGATTAATTATCGATTCCTATGATTGGGTGAAAGCATTAATCGTAAGACCCATTTATGGGCTGTGGCATAGATTAAGTACCTTGGCGGAAGTTCTTTGGGAATGTGAAGACTCACTAGGTTGATTGTTTTAAATAAATGAACGATTGTCCTTACTTAGAAATATTAGAATCATATATATTATATATTAATGTTAGTTAGGTTGGTTTTGTGTGTGTCTAAT